TGGCAGTGTTTGTGACATGATTTTGCAGCAATCACTGCTCATTATATCCCCATTATTTGGAGTCTATCCAGACACCAATCTTTTAGGAGTGCAAAGTGAGTGCAAAAAAAAATAATATATAGCCAAAGGCATTTTACACAGCATTAGAAAAGCTAACCAAAGTTTGGAGTAATGGGTCACTCATATATTGCTTATCAATGTTTGAAATATTCTTTTTCAACCGGGAGGCCACAAAGAGGACCTTCCCTGCCTTAAGCAGTTTCAGAACAAGTTTGGGTAGGCAACTGCCAGGAGTGCTTGACACACAGGATATCCTGTCAAAAGGGCAACAGAGTGAGCTATGCAGATTACTGATTCCCTTGCATCACTGTGATTCAATAAGAGACACAATGTCCTCAAGAAACACTCCTTGACCTCTTGTTTCACATCAGCCTGTTACAACTATGCTCAGATCTGAAGGCTATCCGATACAGATCCTATTCCGATCTGAAGAAGCTAAAGGCAAAATGAAGACTGAAACAGGGCAGGCTCCAGCAAGCAGTGGTATGTAAAATGCTTGAGGTCAACACTGAACGTACCTGAAATATTCTGACCTCACAATATGCTGTTTCTAGGGGGAAACAAAACCATTTTCAGGCCAGATCAGTCCTGATAGGCTCGGAATGACCTACAATGATGATGATGTTCTCATGACTGAATGGAACATGTAGAGGTTGGAGCTGCTGGAAAATCCATCTAACTCAGTTCATCTTCTCAATTTATGATGGCAACCGATGCCATCAAAAGTGGACGGATCCCCCTTTCTGGCTGCTTTATGTTCCTTCTTTGTTACCCCCCAAGTATGCCTTTCGTTGTGACAGTCACAAGTTTGTTTCCTATACACAACACTGTTTGCTTTCTGTTGTAGCAATGCAGCAAATACCATGCTTGGTTTTATGTAGCGGCATCCTCAGCAAACCCATCCATGTCGTCATCACTCAAATGTCACCATAATGCACTTGCAGTCGGATGTGAGAAACAGGTACCTAAAGTGTGGCATTTGCACAATGACATCCCCATACACATCTCCTCATTCCCTTGCCCCGCAAAACTGTTAGCAAGGAAAGATTGCCACTAAGCACCCAACCAGCCAATTTATTTCACACACCATGATGCTGTGATATCCCAACTCATTCTTTTTCAAAATGGTCCATTCAGAATGGTGCTGACATCCTAACATCTATTTCCCTGCCCAATTCGGCAATGGGGCAGCTTAACATTTGGGTGCTCTGTCAATCTCACATCAGTGTTGCAAGCACCGAGTAGCAGCTGAACAGAACTTAACCAATAGTTTCTCAAAGCTTATGGAATTCTTCTTCTATTATGATAGTTACTTTATGAGATACACACACACACACACATATCACACATAAACACACACACTGAGAACAAAATTTTAGCCAGTCTTATCAAGATGCCTGCATGCCAGACAGACAGGAAAAGATGGAAATAGCGATAAAGAGTGTAGAGAAAAAACAGCACCAGAGGAACAGGGGAGGGACTGGCTTGTTTTCATTTACTCCCATTTCCTGGTTTGGCCCTTGCTGTGTTTCAACTCATAAGTAGCCCTTACGGGGTATGAAAAAGATATGCAGTCCATCCTGCTCACAAATACACACTTCAAACACAGAAGAGGGCCTTGATGGTGTTTTGATGTTTCACCTCATCTCCCAGGGCCTATACCTGGCTATGTGCTCTTAACATATTTTCAAAATAAATTTGATGAAAAAAGGCAACGGGGGAACTTAAAATACATGGGAAAGGGGACAAAATGATACATTGTACACTATATCAAAATATGGGTTTATGGAAATGACTAAAATGACCTCCAGTATAAACTGAACTCCTATTGAACAGCATATTAATGCTGTTATATAGAGAGAAAGACAGAGAGACAGAGGCACAGAATTCATATACACATAACTATGCAATCATATACATCGTGTGTGCAAATATACATATACATGCTGTTTGTAAGAGTGTTCATATACAGTATGTGCAGCTGTATATGTATATGTATATATGCACATACGATGTATATACGTGCAGTTGTGTATATGAATTGTCTCTCTCTGTCTCTACACACACACACACACATATACTGTATATACACACACATATATATGCAAGTATCTATGCATGTGTGTGTGTATATACATCTACTTGTATGTAAATGTATATGTGTATTTAAATATCCATGCATCTGTATGTGTGCATGTAATATATCTATGTATGCAAAGGTATATTGTATAATGGGTATATAAAGTTTACATCTGTATCTTTGTATTTATGTATACACACATACCATTTTTGTATTGTTTATTCATTCATTCATGAAGGTTTGGAATTTTTTTTTAAACAGGGACATAACACAGAAAGGTGCTTGAAGCCAAGTGAGACCATGGATCAGTCTGACTCAGTATTGGCTCTGTTCTCTCACAGTGACTGTCTCAGCTTGCAAGTTCAGCTTTTTCTGAATTCTGGCTAGATATTCTAAGGCTTGAACCTTTCTTTTTTTCCCACACAAAGGACAAAGCAGACACTGAATTACAGTCCCACTCACAAGGGTGGCATCAGTGAGAACTAAATTATTACCAGAATCTTAAAAGAAAATCTTAATGGGGAGGTTGATTAGACTTTCAAAATTCCTTCCATGCTCTTATGATAAACAGCAACAACTGTGTTTCCCTGAAAATAAGACCAGGTCTTATATTAATTTTTGCTCCAAAAGATGTATTAGGGCTTATTTTCCGGTTAGGTGTTATTTTGGGGGAAATACGGTACTAAATGCATCTGTCTGGCTGACGATCTTAATTGGAGCTTATTTTGGGGGCAAGGTTTATATTATGAGCATCCTGAAAAATCATGCTAGGGCTTATTTTCCAGTTAGGTCTTATTTTGGGGAAAATGTGGAATTTTATATTTTAATGAAACTGGAAACATTGTCCATCAGATTATGCTACATGACCCCAAGATCCGATTCGTGGTTTTTTTTTTAAAGAGAGCAAAATTTGTTGAGAAGAAAACATTTATAAATTATTTCCCTTTACAACAAAATGTTAATTTTTTAAAAAAATCCCTGTTCACAGATTGCTTCTTGGCAAATCAGAGCAGGGAAAAGTGCTGTATTAATTGGGTGCAATAAACAACAAAAAATCACCGGGACAGTCTCCATGGGACATGGTAACAGAGAGCCAACCTTTAGATAGCATCGTGAGATGGGTCCCAGGAAAGTAAACATGTAATTCTAGTTCTGCAAATCAAGGGATAAAACCCCACAAGGAATTGGGATTGAATTTAACTCAGGAACCTCGATAAGGTATAGAGTGAGCCAGGAGAGAGACTTTTGGTGACTGCAGTTTTGCACCTTTCCTGTTCTGACATCTATTGAATTTTTACTGTAGCATCAGTTACAAACAATCTCAAAAGGTTATGCAAGCATAAAGGAGTTAGTCTTTATAATACCACCAGATGCCATTTTTTCCCCTTTATCTGCTTAACATCAGGGCAGATCTCTTTCACAAATTATTACAGATAACAAAACCTGTTTTTTTGTCTTCTGCCTGCCCACGTTCTTGCACTCTTATGTTTGGGATGTTTAGCTACAAAAGCCTGCAAGTAGGAATTTTTACCATCATCTCTATACTATGGATTGTTTTGTATTTCGTATTGTTTGATTGTTCTAAGCCGCCCAGGGTCATTGAGAATTGAACAGCATACAGGTTTGATAAGCTGTAAGAGCCGTGGTGGTGCAGTGATTAGAATGCAGTGCACTGGTCAGAATGCAGTATTGCAGGCTAATTCTTCTGACTGCCAGCAGTTCGATCCTGACCGGCTCAAGGTTGACTCAGCCTTCCATCCTCCCGAGGTTGGTAAAATGAGGATCCAGATTGTTGGGGGGGCGATATGGCGACTCTGTAAACTGCTTAGAGAGGGCTGTAAAAGCACTGTGAAGCAGTATATAAGTCTAAGTGCTATTGCTATTTCAGACAAATGCTATTGCTATAATTATTTTAATAATGATGGTGGTGGTTCAATTGCACAGTCAGCAAGATGGCATTTTTAACCAACTATCAAGTCTTTTTCATGGACTTGGGACTGATACTATTTTTGTTTTCTTTTGCCACAATCATTTTACTTCTATTTGCAGATCTTTGTATTTTCTGATTTTTTTCCCGTTCTTTCTCTTCTATTTAGTTGTCTCTAGCTATTACTATTATTATTATTGTACATACACACAATGTGAAATAATAGCTGCCAGTGCTTTAGCCTTCATACACACAGAGTTCTTCCCAAGAACATAGAATGTTTTAATGTATTGGCATGGTATGTCTCTGGATCCAAGCGGTGTGGTCTTAAGTAACTGACACATGAAAATGTTGTCAGTGTGCAGATTTTCTAAGGTTTTTTGGGTATGACACTCAATGTTGCAATAATGACTTGGACTACCACGGCTGATTTATGCCATAAACTTTCAACTTCAATTTTCAGATCTCTATACTTTGTGATTTCTCCAATTCTTTGTCTTCTATTATCCCCTGGTATTGGGACATCAATTATTTTAATAGAGCCTCAAGATTCAATACTAGACAAAGATTTTCTTGAGCCCTGGTGTCTACAAGAATAGATGCACATTGCTTCTTGGCACCAGGACAAGTGCAGTTTTCCATTGCCTTCTTTTGGGGTGTTCCTCCCCCCACATAGACGTTTGGGATTTTGCTAGTGTTTTCCTATTCAACTACTAACCAAAGTCAACTATTTTTCAATAGACCTGTGTCATGTGCCATAAACACAATAATATACTTGGACATGGCACATGGCATGGGAAAGAATTCATTTTCTTCCAATCCAAGAAAGACAGCAAAAGTCAGAAGAGATGACTGGGGTGAATGAAATTTCTGGCAGAGCCATGAAGCGTTCTTAAGGAAGAAAGGGGGAAGAGAGAATGGAAAGCCTCTTACTGCGTTTGCTTTTGTCTTTATTCAAGAGCAGTCGCAGCTCATGTTCCTGTTTTCCAGGGACGGTGTCTTGGGGCGGGGGATCCATGGGCACCTGCAGAAGAAGATAAATGAAAAAAATGAATGGACACACAAAACAAGGGCTGGCCATTTCTTCAACCAGGAAAAAAACCATGGTAAGGCAGATCAACTGACGAATCTGGCTCAGGAGGATAAGATTCCCCAGTTCCTAGCCAAGGGGAGTTACTGATGGCACCTGCCATTTCTCCCAGGACATATGTTTTCACGCCTAAAAGGAAGTCCCTGAAGGAGATGGGCGTTAAAGAAATGTGTAACATAAATAAATAAAAATAAAATTCTAAACTTCCTTTCTCAAATCGATGCCTACCAGCCTATTTTGCACCCATCATCTCCATCATTGGCTGTGGTAGCTGAAACTATTGAGATATGTTGTTCAAGAATCTAGAGAGTTTTGGGTTGGAAGGAGCATTCCAGGCATCAATCCTAGTGAAATCATGTCTGGTTGCAAAGTTCTACCTACTAATTTATAGATTCTATAAGTGCCACAAGACCCTATCCCATAGCCCAGGGGTAGGCAACCTTGGCTCTTTTATGACTCATGGACTTCAACTCCCAGAATTCCTGAGCCAGCCATGCTGAGGGGAAAGGGAGAAGTTTCCATGCTTAGCCATGCTGGCTCAGGAATTCTGGGAGTTGAAGTCCACGAGTCATAAAAGAGCCAAGGTTGCCTACCCCTGCCACCAGTTCTTATGATGGCCAATGAGTAATTGAATGACCTCTGACCTTGGCAATTCCTGTGTAAACAGAAGTTTAGAGATTTTAGTCTAGAAACCTGAACCTTGCCATGAAACTCTGAGCTGCTGTGAAGGAGGTTGACGTATTAGTCAATTCTATACCTCTATAATGCCGGTTACATGATTTTATCTCAATATATTGTTTAATGTGGGTCTCGTTTTAAATCCATATCAATCTCATATTTCTGTATCAATCTTTTTCCAGGAAATTTTAAAACACGTCAAGACAATGCTGGACCCGAGATTGTTTTCTCCCTGGACTATATCTGCCCCTCCCCTCCCTTATTTTCCAAGTTGACCCTAAACAACATAATGGCTGCACTAACCCGCAAGTGCGGGCGAGTAAGCTGTTCCACTTGCTGTTGATGCAAGCTTGCTAGGAAGAACTGGTGCTGTAGCTGCTGTGTCTGCTTCAGGGCCAGTAAGGCAGTATCTGGGCTGGGTTTGGCAAGACGCTGTCCAATCCGCAGGTCCATGGGGATGGTCTGGGGAACCTGCAGGGAGACGCAGAGCTTCACAGCACCTCCTGAAACACAAGAGAAGATTTGTTAATACCTGTCCCACCTGATTTCTGAATGAAAGTCTAACTCCTCCAGGTTAGGCCAAATCATGTTCCATGCTGGAGTTCTTTTTTTTCTAGAACCCAAGCTCTTCCCACTCCAAACGTTTGAATCAGAAACGTACTAGTGCCTCAGAAAGCTGCCCAACCCTTGAGTCCCACTCTTCATCTGCAATGCTTAGCAGTCCTCCTACATTCTAGATAAAGATGCTTGGAGTAATTTGAATTTGATAAAATCTCTTGCATCTGATCTGCTGTTCCTAGGCTGATATGCACATCAAAGAACTTCAGAACTTTCAGGGGGAGGAAAATGTACCAGATTGAATAAGTATGTACTTTGGGATTTAAAAAGCAGGTGGCAGCACCTGGTTCACCTTCTCTGGGTTCAGCACCAAGCAGGGTTGGGCCTGGTGACTACTTAGAGGGCGACAACCAGGAAAAACTAAGTAATATATCTAGACTTGGAAGTTGAAAAATCTTCCCAGAAGAGAAGAAAGACAGTTACTTAAAAAAAAAAAAAAAAACCCTGCAAGGTGGTGTCACATATACCTATACTGGCCATTACAAAAGGACATTAGGTCTAAATACTGTTTTTAAAGGGAAACTATGCTCTAAATTGCATCGTGAAATTGGAAATAATAATTTTCAAATTAAACATTGCCTATTAGTTAATATGAGAGTGGGACTTAGCAGTGTTCAGCAAAACACTGCTGAACTCACATACATCAAAAGTTTTCAGCTAATCTCAGAAGGTCACAGGAAACCCAATGGATTTCTAACGTGTCACAATTGCTAAGGTATTTGTATCTGTCTCATATGTAAATACAGCCTACTCTATATAACATTTGCCTTCTTCTCTGGCCCACATCCCAATTTAAATCAGTCTAGCTACTCTATTGCATCTGATGAGACTCAATACAGTTGTGTATGTACTGAGAAACACTTGAGTATTTCATTTTTAACATGAAAAAAAAAATTCTATAGGACAAGAGAAAGAGATAGGTTCCTTGAACATCATTGTT